GAGACCCCCGTGTGCGGAAACGACGAGCCGCGGGAGGGGTGAAGGGGGAGGCGGATCAGGAGGGGGGGGCGGGGACCTCTCTCCCGCGGGCGGCCGGGGAGACGACGAGGTCGCCGCAGGAGTGGTGATCGGGGGTCGAAGCAGCCGCCGCTCACTGCTGCGGCGCTCGCCGCGGCCCCCCCGCCCCCGCGACGAGCGCCGCCGCCTCGGCTCGGCCGCCCGCCTGGGGGCACTCACCGCCGCGGAGTTCGACGACGAGGCCGGCGGCACGCTGCTGATGCTGGCGGCCTCCCGCGGGTGGCTCGGCCTGTGCCGAGCGCTGTGCGCCGCCCCGGCCACGGGCGGCCCGGAAGATCCCGCCCCGCCCCCCCCCTCCGCCCGCCAGCTGCTGGGCAGGGCTCTTCCTCCTCTCACCGAGCGCGTTCCGTTCCACTACTCGCAGAATGGCTACTCGCAAACGTCCGAAAAACACACGTTCGTCTCGATGTAATTTCTGACAAGTCCTCCGCGGCTGATCCAGGTCATTTGCGAGTAGCGCTTTGCGAGTAGTGAAACGCGCTTGCCTATCCTCCGTTTTTCATATTGTTTCATCTATCTTTCTCTGTTATCCTCGATCCCCCTTTCCATCTTCTTTCCTCTGTCTTTTTCCGTCCTCCATCCTTCTCCCCCTCGTCCTCCTCCATTCTTTCTCCGTCATCCTCGATCCCCACTTTATCCGATGCTTGTCCTGATCCTCCTCCCTTCTCATCTTCCTGCTGCTCATCCTCCCCCACCTCCCTCCCCCCCCGCTCCTGTTCCTTCTCATTCCCTTCCTCCCCCTCTCCTTTCCCCCTTTGTCGTCGTCGTGGTGCCTTGGCTTCGAGGTCTTGGTTTCGTGTGTTCGTGTTTTTGTTCCCGGCTCATTGGCTCCATTGTTATTTGGTTATGTTGTCATGGTTTCTTGTTTTTGTTTGTCTTGGTTCCTTGGTTCCTTGGTCTTGGTTTCTTGCCGGTTTGCCAAGACTTGCCAAGCAATGCTAAGCACTGCAAAGCAATACCAAGCAGTGTCAGGCAATGCCACCTATTGCCAAGAAGTGCCATGCAAATTCAAGCAATGCCACGCAAAACCAAGCACTGCCACGCAATGCCAATCAACGCCAAGGAAACCAAGTTATATACCAATAACTGTCATGCAATGCCAAGCAATTGCGTCCATGCAGTATGAAGCGTTCCCCTAATTGGGGTCGTGCTGGATTCATGTCTCCTCGATTCCCATTCTCGATTCTCTTCACCTCTGTCCTCCTCCTCCTCCTCCTCCTTCTCCTCCTCCTCCTCCTTTCCCTCCTCCTACTCCTCCTTCTCCTCCTCCTCGATCATTTATTCAAAAGGTTTACGCCATTCCGCCGACCCCCAGAAGAGGCGTGGGGTCCACGAATGTGGCGTCGTGGGCTTCTCGAGCACTATCACTATGTGGGGATTTTTGTGGGTGTCTTGGGAGCTGTTCGGAGGCCTGGCGGAGCCTCTTAGAGGCAGTTCTGAAGCATTTTTGGGGCCGCCTTGGGGCCTCTTTTGGGCCTCCTAGGGGCCTCTTGGGGCTTCTTGGGTGGGGGCTACTTTTGGGCCGCTTGGGGACTTCTTGTGGCCTTTGGGGGGCCTTTGGGGCGGAACGATCGATTTTCGGTTCGCGTTCTCCCTTTTCGCCTCTCTTGGGGCGCTCTTGGGGCGATCTTCGGCCGTCTTGGGCCCCTGTTTCGGCCGTCTTGGGACCCTCTTGGGCCGTCCTGGGGCCCTCGTGAGGGCCTGTTGGGTAGTTTCGGAGCAGTCTACGGGACCTCTTGGGCCGTCTTGGAGCGTCGGAAGTTCGAGAAGACGATCAACCCCAGAATTAATGAAACAACCAACGGGAAACCATCCATTGTTGCCAATGAGGACACTCTTCAGAACGCTCTTGGGGTGTCTCGAAGGCGTCTTGGGGCGTCTTGGAGCCATCGCAGGCGTCTTCGGACAATCGTTCCGCGATTCGGGACCGTTTTTGAATGTCTGAGAGGCCACGGGAGGTAGATTTAGAAGCTCTGGAGTCTCCAGGGGTGCGCCCAGGAGCCTGAGAATACTGGTCTCCTCTCTCCCCTGATGACGTCGTACGGAAGATCTTCCCCCCCTTCCGCGTACGTTTTGTTTACACAGGATTCCCGGGAGTTTTGTTTTCGTTTGTTGTTTTTCTCTGTTTTCAAATTGTTGCTCCCGCCGGGGCGTTGGCCTCATTTTCGGGCTTCCGCTCGTTCCGAATCGTGTTCCCGCTGCAGCGCTGGCCTCATTTCCGCGCTTCCGCTCGTTCCGAGTCGTGTTCCCGCTGCAGCGCTGGCCTCATTTCCGCGCTTCGCTCGTTCCGAATCGTGCTCCCGCTGCAGCGTTGGCGTCATTATTTCTAGTGCCATGCCACGGCACGCAATGGAATGCTATGTGGTGTTCCGCTGTGCGATGCCATGCCTTCAGCTGCAATGCTAGGATATGCAGTGCTTGACCACGCAGTGCCACGCCATGCTATGCCATGTTACGATTTGATCTTTAACGCCATGCCATGCCATGTTCTGGTCTGTGCTGCTGTGCGATGCCATTATTTGCGTTGCAATGCTTAGTGATTTAAATTCTTCACTACACCACGCCCCGCCGTGCTATGACAGACTACGATCTGCCGTACTCTTCTACGCCCTGCTATGCCGTGCTCTACGATGCATCGCGCACCCTCTCGGGATCATTGCCCTGCTCGGCATCCGACTGTACGAATGGAGAAGAGGTCTACGCCATGGTAAGGGATGGGAGGGAGGGGTAGGACGTCAGATATGACGCGAGCGCATCTAGCTTGTCCCCCCCCTCTCCCCCCTCCTTAAACTGGATGTTGGACCCTGGGGGAGGGGGAAGGGGGATGGGGGGAACAGCGAATCGTCTCACACGCCTTCTCACTCCCTGCAAGCGGGTGTCGGCGGCTCCTCCGCCTCTCCCTCTGCCTCTGCCTCTTCCTCCTCCTCGTCCTCCTCCTCCTTCCCGGGAGTATGCGGAGACGAAGGAGGATCAGCAGCAGCAGTACCAACCAGCATCAGCACAGCGAGAAGGGATAAAGTTTGGTAGGAATGGTAGGAGAGGCAGGACGTGACGGAGGCGGAGAAGGGGACTGAGAAGGATGGAGAGGAGGAGGAGGGCAGGGGAGGCGTGCTGGTGAAGAGGGGGAGATGGCGGGGGAGGGGACAGGGGGAAGGAAAGAAGGAAGGAAATATGGAAGGAAGGAAGGAACAAAAAGAAAGAAGAAAGAACGGAAGGATGAGAAGGAGGAGGAGGAGGCGATGGAGGGAGGAAGAAGGAGAAGGACGCGGTTGATGAGAAGGAGGAGGAAGACAATCAAAACAGTTCGGGTGGTTGAGGAGGGAGGAGAGAGGTAGAAGGAGTGACACAGGAGCGATTGGAGGACGGGCGGGGTGGAGACATGAAGTAGGTAAGAGGGAAGACAGAGCGGTGGATGTGGAGTTGGCGGCGGAGGAGGCGGAGGAGGAACAGCAGCAGCAGCAGCAGCAGCAGCAGCAGCAGCAGCAGCAGCAGGAGAGAGGGTGTCTGGGCGAGGGTGGGATGCGCGCCTCGAGCTGCCCAGGCCACCTCGCGCGCTGGTGGGCGGCAGGCGTACCTTGACGCCAGGAGCTATGACCAAGGTGGCACGGCGCTGCTCAGCCCCTGGTGCTCCTCCTGTTCCTCCTGCTCCCCGTGCTCCTCCCCGACTTCTGCTTCGCACTGTCGCGCCCCTTCCCGGAGCGCCAGCGGCGGGTGCTGCTGCTACCGCTCTCTTCCTCTCTCTTCCGGCCCTTCTTCTTCTTCCTCCTCCTCCTCCTCCTCCTCCTCCTCCTCCTTGTCCTCTTGCTCCTCGTGCTTCGTCGTCCTCGCCTGTTCCTCCCCTTCCCTTCCCCTCCCCCCCCCCGGCGGCCGCCCAGTCCGCTACCCTCCCGCCCTCCTCGGCTCTCTCTCTCTCTCTCTCTCGCCTCGTCCTCCTTCTCCTCCTCCTCCTCCTCCTCCTCCTCCTCTCCTCCTCCTCCTCTCTCTCTCTATCTCTCGCGCCTCCTCCTCCTCCTTCCTCCTCCTCCTCCTCCTCCCACCTCCTCCTCCACCTCCTCTCTCCCTCTATCTCTCTCGCCTCCTCCTCCTCCTCCTCTCTCCACCTCCTCCTCCTCCTCCACCTCCTCTTTCTCTATCTCTCTCGCCTCCTCCTCCTCCTCCTCCTCCTCCTCCTCCTCGCGCCCTGGTTCCTCCCGGGCGCCTTCCTGCGGCCGCGCCTGACGGTGGCGGAGCGCCGTGCGCAGGCCCCGCCCAGGCGCAGGCCCGTCCCACTCTGCGCGGGTGCTCCTGCGCGGCTTCGCGGAGCTAGCGCATCGGGGCTGTGAGCCCACGCGGCGTGGCGCCGCTCTCGAGGACGCACTTCGCGCCGCTCCTCGCGCAGCGGCTTCTGGACCAGGCCCTGGTGAAGAGGTCGCACGTTCTCAGGGGCAGCGATAGGGGGGAGTGGGCACAGTGGGGGACGCATCGACTCCCAATCGCCCATGGATCGCCGGCAGGGGTCTGATAGCCCCAGCCCGCCCAGGAACGTGCGGATTTGCTATCGGGAGCCTATCGCCGATGTATCGCCGATTCCAGGTCGAGATTTCCCCCTATGCCATTCCCCCCCTATCTGTGCCCCTCACATTAAAATCTGGCTCCTCCTGAATGAGAGCACCTCGTAGAGGGGCAGTTCCATGTGAAGCTGTTGCTGATACTGGCCTTCCTCCGCCAGTCCAGCACTGTCTGGCCGATCTTCGTCTTCGGGGCGGTGTCCAAGGCGTGATCAAGTCGAAGAAGAACCATACACCTTAGGCGATGCTTAAGAAAACTTACGTTTTCGGCCAGAGTCTCGATTATTCTTAATGTTTCAATGTAGATCCTAAGATTTGAATAGACATTCTGGATTTTTGTTCTCATTCTGAGACTATGAATTTCTTAACCCATGATTTCTAAAGCATTTCGCAGGGTGCAGCGCCATAAACATCCATTTCTGGCGCTCCGAGCGGATTGCTTGGGTCCTCGCTGGGGCCTTCCCGGCGCCGCCCCGGGCGCGCTCCGCGCGCCAGGGAGGGCGGCCCAGCGCGGATCCAAGCAATCCGCGCGGAGCGCCAGCAGTTTATGCTTACGGTAGGTTCGTGTCGTGTCGACCAGCGGCGACCCCGCCGCCGGAGTTCAACTTTGAACGCCGACGGCGACCCAGAATCGATCGATGTTCAACGATGTGGCGTTTCGGAAACGGCCGATCGTTCAAGGTTGAACAATTCCCGCCGTGTCAAAAACCAACGCCGGGGTCGACACGACACGAACCTGCCGTATGCCGTTTTCTTTTCCTATCAAGGACATGCGCAAGTTCTCCTGGCTCTGCTCGGCCGATCGATGGGCGACATCGGCCGCGGCCGTGGGCGCAGGGCCTCCAAATCACGGTGCTGCTCGAGCCGGTCTGCGTGCTGCACAGTTTCGTGATGATGATGATGATGATGATGATGGTGGTGGTGGTGGTGGTGGTGATGATGCTGACGATGACGATGTCAATGCCGACGAAGACGATGATGATTATGATGCTGATGATGCTGCTGATGATGCTGATTCTGCGGATGATGATAATGATAATGATCATGATGATGATGATGGCAATGGTGATGATGATGTTGATGATGATGATGAGGAGGAGGATGAGGATCATGATGATGATGATGATGAGGATGAGGATGATGCTGATCAGCATTATGATGGTGGTGATCGATGACGATGATGCTGATGCTGATGATGATGACGATGATGGTGCTGATGAGGATGAGGATGCTGATGAGGATGATGATGAGGATGAGGATGATGATGCTGATTATGATGTAGATGCTGCTGATGATGATGAGGATGATGATGATGATAATGTTGTTGATGCAGATGGTGATGATGATGGTGATGACGATGATGCTGATGATGATGACGGTGGTGGTGATGATGATGGTGGTGATGATGATGATGCCGATGGTGGTGACGATGATGCTGATGATGCTGACGATGACGATGATGATGATGATGATGATGATGATGATGATCATGATGATGATGGAGATGATGCCAACGATGACGATGACAATGACGACGACGATGCTGATGATGATGAAGATGATGGTGATGATGCTGATGATGCTGCTGATGATGCTGCTGCTCATGATGATGGTTCTGTTGATGACGATGATAATGCTGGTGATGACGATGATGGATGGTGATGGTGATGGTGATGATGCTGAGGATGAGGACTCTGATGCTGATGATGATGAAGATGAGGATGATGCGGATGAGGAGTATGATGATGATGGTTGTGATGATGCTACCAGTGATGATGACGATGATGCGGTTGCTGATGATGGCGAGGATGATGGTGCTGATGAGAATGAGGATGAGGATGAGGATGATGATGAGGAGGATGATTAGGATGATGATAAAGCTGATTAGGATGTTGATGATGCTGATGGTGATGTGAATGAGGATGATGCTGCGGCTGATGCTGATGACGTTGTTGTTGATGATAGTGATGATGATGATGATGATGACGAAGATGCTGATGATACTGATGATGCTGATGATGACGGTGGTGGTGATGATGATGGCCGTGATGATGCCAATGATGATGTTGCTGATGATCATGTTGATGATGTTGGCGATGATTATGCTGCTGCTGATGATGATGACTGTGGTGGTTGTTATGCTGATAAAGATGATGGTAGTGGTTATGATGTTGATCATGCTGATGATGCTGATTCTGATGATGATGCTGATGATGATGGCGGTGGTGGTGGTGATGATGATGATGATGATAGTGGTGATGGTGATGATGATGGCGATGCTTGAACTGCGGGTGATGATATATGATGGTGGAGTCGGCAACGCTGGTCTTCTAGAATGGTCGCGGGCCCACTAGTCGTGCTCACATTGGCTCAAACGTTGTCTAGTTTTGCGCCCCGAGCCCCTCTGGCTACGAAGTCCAACAACATCTCCTCCTCCTCCTGCTCCTCCTCCTCCTCGATCCCTCGTTCGACCTCCCTGGTCGCGCCACCAGACGTGTTGCAAGGACGGTTTGGGCGTTCCGTCTAAAAGCTCCTCGAAATCATTCTTGAAACGGTTGCGCGCTTTCAGGGCGGAGGTTGATGAACATCTCGCTTGTGATTTTCAATTGTTCACTGGTTATACGGCTCGTGATTTCGCTTCGACAGGTTGTGCCAGGGCGCTGCCCCCTGAAACTCATGTTGTGCGGTCGAATATCGATCGGATCGTTGATGCGCGCTGTTAAGACGGATCGGGTTTTCACCTTTTTAGCTTTGCCGCTGTTTGTGGAAATGTCATACCCACCTTCCCGAGTTCCACGCCTCTGACCGGGCCGTTGGAATATCACCGTTCCTGTCCTCTTATTCCTCGGACTTGCGACAGGTCAAGTGGGCGCGTACCTTTTACATATGATGTCCGCCGTAATGAAACACACTACTCGTGCTGACTTCTGATTGGGTGGGTTCGGGCGGGATCGTGTCTTGCAGCATACGTGGTGTTTTTGTGGTCTTCTTCCTCCTCCTCCTCCTGTTCAGGTCCTCCTTTCCTCTTCCCCGTCCTACTTGCACACCACCTCTGTCTACTCTGCCTGCCTTCCCTGCCTTTCCCTGTGCCCGAAGCATTTTTGCCACTAAGTGGGATAACAGGTGTTTGGCACTCCGCCGCCGTTTTGGCCCGTGGGCACGGCAGGGTGGCCACCCTACGTGCCCGCGTTAGACGCGTAGGTATTCGATTCTTGATCACCGTGTGCACTGCCTTGCGCAGTAAGCATCATTTTTCATAGGTGGTAGCGGAGCTTCGGCTCCCTCCCATTACCCCTCGCCGCTATGGCCCGCGTGGCAGTGAGGGGCAGCATTCCCCAGTCTGCCCGTTGAGACGGGTGGGCCCGTGATCGCTGGCCGCGTGGAGGCGAGTCTTCCCCGGTCTGCCTCTTGGCATGGCTGCGCGGGCTGCGCCCCGCCTCCTCCTCTTCCTCCTCCTCCTCCTCCTCCTCCTCCTCCTCCTCCTCCTCCCCCTCCTCCTCCTCCCCCTCCTCCTCCTCCTCCCCCTCCTCCTCTCCCTCCTCCTCCCGACGTGGCTGCGAGGGTTACGCCTGCCCGCGCTCTGCCTCTCGACGTGGCCGTGCGTGGGCGAGAGCCGTCCCCCAGGTGCGCCGCGTGGCCGTTGCTGCCTCGAGCCTGGCGGCAAGCCTGGCCCAGCCCGCCTCTCGATCGCGTCGACGGGGACGTGCGCCTCTCCTCCACTTGGCGAGGAGGAGGAGGAGGAGGAGGAGGAGGAGGAGGAGCAGGAGGAGGAGGAGGAGCAGGAGCAGGAGCAGGAGCAGGAGCAGGGGCAGGAGGAGCAGGAGGAGCAAAATGGAGGAGGAGGAGGAGGAGCAGGAGGAGCAGGAGGAGCAGGAGGAGCAGGAGCAGGAGCAGGAGCAGGAAGAGGAGCTCTCGAGACGGCCTCGGTCCGCCTCTCCACCTGGCGGCGTGGTCGTGGGCCTTCCCAATCCTCGCGCCGTCTCTGTCCAGAAGGCCCCTGTCCGCGGTGCTGGGCGGATGCCAGCGGGTCGCGCCAGAGTGCCGTGTGTCCGGCGAGGACCTTCCGGCTCCCGCGCGGGCAGGGCGAGCTCTTCGCCCCTTTCCTGAAACCTGCGCCAGTCACCCGTAGTTGGGGGTGGCAAGCCGACCCCAATCCCAGCATACATTCGGCGGCGGGCCTGGGGGAAGAGTGAGAAGGAAAGCCTTCCTAGAAGGTTCGGAAGCCACCCGGCGTTCGGAGAGGTTGTTTGCGCCTTCCCCGAAGACGCACACGCACAACTTCCCAGAAGAGGCGCGAGGGCTTCTGAGGAGTCCCGCCGCCCTTTGAGAGGGCCTTCTCCTTCTCACTTCCCCCCTCGCACGCCGCCGGAAAATAACTTTTGCAAGTTACCTTTTTTCCGCGTTCTGGAGTACGTGCATGGCCGTTGGTGCCCGCGCCGACGAACGCCGCGCGGCGCCGCAGGGCGGCTGGGGCGTCGATCGCGCAAATTCCCGGGGCGAGGGGCTTGGCACCGCTCGGACGTGTGCATTCTCTCTCGGCGAGAACCATCGTGGAACGTCCTGGATCATCTTGGCACCGCTTGGGCGTGTGCGTTCTTTTTCGGCGAGAACCATCGAGGGACGTGCCGGATCATGGAGCAGACAGGCAGACGCGCGCGAAAACGACAGCTGAGTGGGGAGTGGGCGTCCGAGCGATGGCAAGGGGGAGGGGCCCTGGTGCCTCGCCCTCTGGCCCAGGCCCCCCCCCCCCGCGCAGCGCTGCCCCCCCGCAGCGCAGTTTAGACGAGGGGCGTTCTCCCAGGGGCACCAACTATACACCAACACCGATCCTGGCCCAGGATCACCCTGGGCCCAGGATCGCTGTATATGCCTTCTTGCGCAAGGCAGGAGGGCGTATACACCGATCCTGGGCCCAGGGTGATCCTGGCCAGGATCGGTGTTGGTGTATAGTTGGTGCCTTCCTATCCCAGGGGCACCCTGTACAATGTTCAGGAGGGGAAAACACAGAAACAATGCATCGTCGACCCCCAGGAAAATACGGGAGAACTTGGGAAGTGGGGGGGAGGACGGAAACCCAGAACATATATAAGAATAGGGGGATTTGGGGCTTTGTGTCTATTTCTTTGTTTGTCCCAGGGCCCCTTCAAATGCGTGTTTTTTGGTGTGCCTTGTATGTCCGATGTATTTTGCTCATGTGAGCTTTTTGGGGCTGCCCCGCTCGCTGGTTCGGTGTCTAAGCTGATTCTGGGGGGAATCTAGATTTTTGTCGCGCCCCTCTCGGAATGGGCCCCGAGGCCGGTCGCGCGGGGCGGGGGGCTGCGGTCCGTCGTTGCCCGAGGTGTCATTTGATTCGATATTGCGAAGGCCTGACGGCCGGTGCCGCCGACCCTGGAGGGCGACCCATGCGTTCTCTAATGTGGGGGGGGGGGCCTCTTGGGGCTTCCCGGGGGCCTCTTGGGGGTCTCGTGGTGGCCTCTTGGGGGCATCTCGGGGCTTCCTGGGAGCCTCTGTCGCCGAGGGCTCGTCGGGCCCCCCGTCCCGTCTGGGCACCCTGTTGGAGCCGTTTGGGGAGCCTCTGGGGCCATCTTGGAGGCATCTTGGGCGGTCTTGAGGCTCTCTCGGGTCATTTTGGGGCTCTCTTGAGGCCTCTTGGGCTATCTTGGGGCAATCTTGGGGGCATCTGGGGCCGTCTTGGAGCGTCGGCAAGTTGAAACGGCGAGAACGCCAAAATCTGTCAACACACTTTAAGGAAATCATTGATTTTTCCCTCTTCGTGCCCTCTTGGGAGTGCTCTTGGAGACTTCTTGGAGCGTCTTGGCAATCTCTTGGGCCGTCTGGAGGCTACTTTGGCGTCTTCGACCGATGGTTCGGCGATTCGGGGCCCTCTGGAGCCGTCTTGGAAGCCTCTTGGGGCACTCTTGGCCAGTCTGGGGGCTTTTCTAGGTCCCGGGACATCCCGGGGGGGATGCGTATCTGCCCCCCCCCCCCCCCCCCCCCCGGGACCCCTCCCGGGGACCCCCCCCCCCGGCGGGGAAGGGATCAAAGGGAAGGGGCTTCCCTTCGACTCAGCTACGACGTTGCTCAATTTCGCTTTGCCTTCGACTCAACTACGACGTTGCTCGATTTCGCTTTGGTTTCGCTTTGGCTGGCGCGCCTGAGGGGAGGGCGACGACGACGACGACGACGACGACGACGACGAACGGAAGAGCATCGACGAAGACGACGACGACGGCGACGACGACGACGACGACGGCGGCGACGACGACAACGACGACGACGAGGACGACGATGACGACGTTCACGACGAACGGAAAAGCATCTTCCACACGCCGACAGGGTCGGCGGATTCACCGCGCGCATGAACGCGACAACGCGAAGAGCGCACACTATCAAACGCTTGGTATCTGGCTGTTGGTCGCACAGTGTCACACGGTCTCGCTCCCGTCCGAGCGAAGAGATCCTTCGGCGTGAGAGTGGGCGCCGCTTGAACGGAAAATCTGAAGTCTACCGTGTGGGGGGTGGGGGCCGATTTTCTGGTCCTCGCTCAGCGCTGGTCGTGCTTTCTGGAATCATATGTCCCACCGTTCCCTCCGGCTAGCCCTCCTCCTCCTCCTCCTCCTCCTCCTCCTCCTCCTCCTCCTCCTCCTCCCCCTCCTCCTCCCCCCGCCCCTCTGTTCGCTCCTCGAGGCGGTACGGCGCTGCTCGGCGCGGCGAGGCACGGTCAGGTGGCGGCTGCTCAGATGCTGCTGGGCGCGGGGGGGCGCAGGGGCAAATGGGCAAAGGGGCAGGGTTAGACAGGAGGAGGAGGAGGATGGAAGGAGGGAAGGATGGAAGGAGGGAAGGACGAAGGAATGAGGAGGAGGACGATGATCTGACGAGGATGATGTTGAAGTTGAGGTTGTTGATGATGCTGCTGGTGATGATGCTGCTGTTGTCGATGATGACCATGGCGCTCTGGATGAAGAAGATGATGATGCTGACAATAATGGTGATGATGCTGCTAATGATGACGCGGATGATGATGGTAGTGATCATGGTGGTGGTGATGAACATAATGAGGCTGAAGGTGCTGATTAGAATGATGATTCTGATGATCGGGATGAGGATCATGATGCTGATTATGATGTTAATCCTGATTATCATGATGCTGGCGATGATGCTGATGATGGGTATGAGGACGATGGTACTGCTGCTGATGATGGTGATGACGATGATGCTACTGATGCTGTTGATCATGATGATGATGATGATGATGATGCTGATGATGATGATGAAGATGATGATAGTGATGGTGATGCTGATGGTGATGGCGGTGATGTTGATATTGCTGGTGATGGTGCTGATGATGATGATGATTGTGAGGACGATGGTGATAATGATGACGATATTGATGATGGTGCTGATGAACATGTTAATGATGATGCTGATGATGAAGAACATGGTGGTGATGATAACGACGATGCTGAGGGTACTGACGATGTTGATGATGCTGATGATCATGATGCTGCTGATGATGATGATGATGATGATGATGATGATGACGACAACGAAGATGATGATGCTTATGATGATCCGATGATGATGCTGCTGTTTGTGATGGTGATTATGATGATGGTACTGCTGCTGATGATGAGGACTATGATGGTGAATGATGCTGCTGCTGATGATGACGCCGATGGTGATGCTGCTGCTGCTGATGATGAGGCTGATGGGTATGCTGATGATGCTTAGGATGATGCTGATGATGATGCTGTTGCTCATGATGATGCTGATGGAAGACGATGATGCTCATGATGAGTATGATGATGCTCCTGATGCTGATGATACTAATGATGACGGCGTTGCTGTTGATGGTGATTCGGATGATGATGATGATGATGATGATGATGATGATGATGATGATGCTGATGATGATGATGATGATGCTGATGATGATGATGGTGATGGGAATGATGATGATACCGATGATGAGGTTGATGGTGCTGATGATGCTGACGACGATGCCCATGATGATGCTGATAGTGATGGTGATGGTGATGTTGATGATAATGCTGATGATGATAGTGATGGTGATGGTGATGATGCTGATATTGATGATGATGATGATGATGATGATGATGATGATGATGATGAGAATGATGATGATGATGATGATTATGATGATCATGATGATGATGGTGGTGGTGGTGATGATGATGAGTGTGGTGATGGTGATGATGGTGATGGTGATGGTGGTGGTGAAGATGCAATGTAACAGCCGTTGGGTCGGACATGTTTTTGGGTTCATCGGGCTTCGCACCGCCGTCTCTCCGTAGGTGTGCGACTCAAACGGTTGGAGAGTCGGGGGGGGGGGCTGGCGGCCCCCTGGCCGGACCGAGCCGAGCCTCCAGCGAGTTCAGAGTGCTGTGGTCGAATTCGAGTTCACACACCGTTTCGCCCCTTTCGAGCGGTCGCGCCCGCCGAGCGCATCAGGCGTGACGGCTGCCAGTGCCCTCGTCGTCCTGCCTCTCGATGCGTGCTTCCGACACCCCGTGCAGCATCACAGTGGCAAGGGGGCGAGCACGATGACGGGAGTCGTCAGGCAAGTGATGGCGAGCTGCCTCGAGGGACAACCTGCGAGAGGGAATACTTCGGCGTCGGCGACCAGTTCCTGGGCTGGAGGCTGAGCCAGCGTCTCAGTAACCGCGAGAAGTTGATCATGCCGACCCGCGCAGTGCCCGTGTCAAGATGCGTACACCGAGCGCACCGTGCAGGCCAGCACGTCGTGCATGCGAGAACCCCGCGGAATGTGTCGGCCGCCGATAGTTTGGCGGACCTGTTTGTCCGTGAGGTTTTGCTGTTCTTGGCCGTGGCTCAGCGCGGGAAACTGCCTATCCGTCGCACGGCTTTCCTCGTGACTTGCTCCATGAAGCGCAGTGCTGTGCGGATTGCATCGTGCTCTACACGGCCACCACGCAGCGGTTCCTTGACTACGGCTTTATCCCCGTGGTCTTGGCGGTGGCCGGGGTGGGGTGTCCTTGGCCCGCTGGGCCAGGCGGCGCCGCGAACGGGTTCGGAGCAGTAGCTGACGAGCGGCAGACCCGACCCAACCCAGTGTGCTGCAAACGCGCCAGTACGGAGACAACCGAGGGGGAGAAAGTTTTCGTCTCTTCTGTGGGGAATTCATCGGACGAGCTTTTCCAGCGCTATCCTTGGTCCAGTTTACCGCTTGGCCGCCGATGCGACCGCGTACGAGTACAGTTTCACGCTCGATCCGATCGAGTATTTTGGGGACCTCGTCTTATCTCTGGGCCTTGACTATCGACTCTTACTTGGGGGAGCCGGCGGCGCACCAGTCGGCCACCGATGTGACCGAGTACGAGTCCAGTTTCACGCTCGAGGCGCTCGAGTTCCTAGGTAAGGGCGACATGTCGTCCGCTGGTTCGATCAGGTACGCGGTGCCCGACTCGCTCGAGTTCTTAGATGCGGACCTCCCCTCCCCTCGTCCAGACGGCTCAATGGGCCCCCCCTTAGGCACACTCCTCACGCACGCTACGCTTATCCAAGACCTAAACGACCCAGAGCGTCCAAGGCCCACCTGGAGCAAACCCAATGCCAACTGCCCAATGCCTGCCCACGAACCCCCAGGCCTGCCCGAGGTCGGCCCGATGGCCTATAAAATGCCTGCCTCAGACCTACCTGGTGGCCTTTCAAGAGCTGGTACGTCGCCTACCCAAAGCCCAGTAAAGGCCCGCCCACGACTTAGCCAAGTCTTAACAAAGATGCTTCCAAGACCTACACAAGTCCTTTTTCGAGCCAACCACATGCGAGCACCATGACGAATGTGAATGCCCAAGTGCGCGCGACCACCGTGCCCACGTTCGTCTTACAAGCGCCACGATAATCTCGACAACAATGGGCTATCATGCAAGGTTCTACGGTGCGCCCACCGTCGTGCAACCGCCGCGCAAAATCAGACAACGCAAGGCAGCCCTAAAGGGTTGAACGGCACGCGCCAAACAATGAATAACGAAGTCTTCGATCCGACGGTCACCCCAGTCCCGCGGTGATTGCCGGGACTGATCCAAATATTCGCTTTCTTCGTGGCGGCCTTGGAAAACCATGGTAGACATACGGGTAGCACTCGTCAAATTAATTTGAACATCGATATTGAAAAACGTGAAGAGGAAGTTGGTAATATTATTACTAAGTATAATACAATGCACACGGTCGAAAAGGAATTAACAAATGATAATACGGAGGTTGAGAAGACGAATGCTATTAATGCGTAATGATACTTCCCATATCAGTACTATAAGTAATACTCGTACACGTCGTACTCACAACCTGAATCATTTTACGACTACCACACATATCAGGTACACGAAACACACTG